TGGAGACTGGAACTTGTGGTTGAGGCAGGGTCATCCTGATCCTTGCTCTACCTGGCTGGAGTTTCTTCTCATCAGAGCACTGGGACATTAAACCAACCTTTTACAACACACTGGTCCTGGTTGCTTCATTCTGCATTCTGGAAGGGGCACAGCACAGGCCGTAGACAACAGGGGCATCATGGGAGTATCCCAGGTGGGGTGTTTGCCTAAAGCAGGTGGGCAGCTCCCTCTCAGGGAGGCGGAGCCTTGGGAGCATCTGGGAGGGATGTGGGAAGGAGGTGAGGCTGAAAGGGGGCTCTGGACAGCAGAAGCCACTTGGTATTCAGGGCCAGCTCCCACCCATCCTGGCACCGGATGTAACATGTGTGCTCAGCACAGGGGCTCTGGTGATGATGGATGGCATTCATCCCTCAGTCTCCTTGAAAAGGGAGGCTTGTGCCAGGGGTGGTGGCTGCCCCACCCTGCCAGGGACGCCCTGGGGAGCCCGACAGTGCCATGGTGGCAGAGGCAGAGAAAGGTAGGGAGCTTGTAGGTTTGCTAAACCCTGGCTGGTCACTTTATCTCTGACACGTGAGGCTCGGAACTGCCTGGGCTCTGGAATCCTGGTGCAGGTGGCTGCCAGGGTCAGGCACAGCTTGGCCTCGCTGGTGCCAGGACTCCTGTGGTGGGAGAATCTGCCTGAGGTCTCATCCTGTCCTCCCTCTGGGGCTTCTAGCCCACTTCCTTTTTCTATCACACATCTTTGCCTCTGGCCCATCTGAAAAGATGGCTTTTGCTTACCATTTTCAATGTTTTCACATCTGCAATTACACTTATCCCCCCTACAATGACTGTGGAGCAAGCAGGCTTTCATTCTTCTATCCGTTCCACAAACAGTGGAACTATTGATTCTGTCAGACCCTTTTCTAACGGCTGAGGATGTAAAGGCCAAGCCCTGGCTGTCCTGACAAGTTTCGTGGAGGCAGACCAGAGGCTAATTCCACGTGACAGAGAGGAAGCCCGAGGGGCGGTGCTGGCTGTCTCTGCCAGTGCCCTCCCCCAGATCTCCTTGCTGGTTCCCAGGAAGCCAGACGGCCTCTTTAGTCTCTGAAGACCCCATTACTTGGGTTGGGGCCATAAGAACTGGACTTTTTTGGGGGGTTAGTTTTAGGGGTGAAGGCAGCTGAAATGGTAGGGTGGGATACACCTCTATTCTTGGTAGGAGAGTACCCCAAGAGTGGGTGGCCCTGTCCATTACAATTTCATGCTCTCTACCCTATGGGTTTTCATGGGCTGGATCCAGGTTCAGGACAGCAGGCCGGGAGTTTGTCTAGGTGAGTGTTGGAGGCCAGCACTCTGGAAGGGAGCTTGACCTTGGTCGCAGCCACTAGTGGTGCGAGGGTTAACTGTTGGCCACCAGCCCCTGGAACCGAGCCCCTCCTCCTCCCGGAGTCAGGGTCTGCCTTCGGCCCTGGGACGAAGGCTGCGGCAGGTGAGGCAGCCCGGAGGAGCTGTGAGATCAGGGCTGCTCCGCTCTCTGCCCAAGATCATTAATAACCAAGAACTGGAAAGATCATTAAGAGCTGAGCCTCCAATGTGGAACTGAGCCTGCTGCTGGCTCTGAGGGCCGCTCCTGCTCCTGGGCCAGGCGCTGGCTGCCTTGTTCCTTCTCTAGGAATATATCTGGGGGCGGGGGCAGGAGGCTATGAATCCTGGGGGACAGGTAGCAGGAAGGATGCATCCTGAGTTCAGAACCAGCTTGGCCTGGCTTCCTGCACCACCAAAGGAAGGGAAGAAAGCGTGGCAGGGGAGAGGAGAGTAAGGAAGGCCACAGATGTGAAAGCGTCATAAACAAGGGCCTGGCGACCCACATGCTCAAATAACACTTCTTTTCTTTGGGTGAGATACAGAGACAGGCCCTTGTGGCTGGCCTCAGAGCAGGAAAATCTTACTAACTGGGGTCCCTTCTGTTGCTGCTGTAGCTGTTTTTCCTTGTGTCTAGCTGAGCGGCTTGTGGTCCAAGCCAGCTTTTTGCAGGGAGCCAGGTGTGTGGAGGGGAAGGGGGCAGAGCTTGCAAAAGGGCAGGCTGATGTCTTCAGTCAGGACCCTCCAGACTAGCCTCTTTGAAAGGGAAGGACTGTCCTCAAGTTTCCTAGGGGACTGGGGAACGAGAGACAACCCCTACCCCCAAAGCCCTCTAGACTCCAGATAATTTAGACCAATCTTCTGTTTCCGAATCGCAATCCAGTGACAACTCATTAGGAGGCTATGAAACCAAGTAGGTGTCAGGAGTCCTAATGAGTTGGGGGTCCCTGGCTACAAGTAGTTAGTCTGGCGAGTGATGTGGGAAACAGGTGTCACTGAATAGCTTTATTGAGCATTTTGTGCTGGGCACTAAGCTCAGCACTTTAATCCCCACAACTGGCCAGTGACGTAGCTGCTGTTACCCCACTTTACAAATGAGGAAGGACAGACCACGGAGGCTCGCTGCCTGCAAATGGCAGGCCCAGCTGCCTGGTCCACACAGAAAGTACCCAATGCCATGCCTGGCATATAATGACATTCAGCAGAGGTTACCCCTCCAGTCTGCAATCAACACCATCGGCCCCAGGTGGAAGGGATCCCAAGCTCTCTCCAACCTTCCAGTGGCCCTTAACCATGGGTCACCCTTGCTTGGGAATATGGCCCCACACAGGACGCTTCCACTTCCCCCAGGCCTGGCACTGCCAGCCACTGCCCCTCCGCAGTGGCTTTCCAGGAGCGGGGCAGCAGCCCCTGTCCTCCCCACCACTCTGACTCTAGCCTCTGCCTGTTGCCGAGGCTGCTCCTGGCCCCAGGGTGAGGACGGCTGTGTGGCTAAGGGACCATCATGGTGCCACTGCCCACTTCCACCACCCAGCAGTGCCTCCCAGTCTGTCACCTGCTATCCGCCCCATCTATAAGCCAGCAGCTGCTGCTCTAGCCTCAGGTGAGGAACAGCCAGGAGCTGCTGGCATGAGGCTCTGGGGCTCAGGTGGGTCTGGTGCTTCTGCGGGGAGGGAGGCAAAGAAAGTTTACTACCACCTTGACCTGGTCTGCCCTGGGGGCATCTGGGGCCATGCAGGTGGCAGATGTTGGGTAGACGCTGCTGAGTTTAAGCTTTCCTCCACAGCGACACCTGCTCCTGGGCCAGGCTGGGCTGGCATCCTCTTCTGCTCTCCCCACCACTGACCTCGGGGGCCCATCTGCAATATGGAAACCACGAGCTGAACTTGCCTACTTTGCCAAGTTGATGATGGCTGCAGTGAAATGTGCCTGATGCACATGGAGAGCCAGCATCACCCGGGGCTGTCTTGCTGTTGGGGTTCTCTGCCCCTGGCCCCAAGCCCCATTGGCCGTCAGCGGCAGAAGCCTGGCATCGATGGAGAGGAAGGTGACCTCATCTGACTTACAGCAGGAGGACACTGAGGAGCAAAGCAGCTAGACAACGGCAGTGGTGAGGGTCCCCACTTGGCAGCAGCGATGTGGTCACTGCTCCAGTTCCCTCCAGGGCCGGGGCTGCCCCAGCTCAGAGGTGGCGGGGAACATGGCCACTGACTCCATGGCTGGGCGGTTCCAGACTGTCACATAAATTAACCTGGGCTTTATGAAGCTCATGAATTTGCGTCCAAGATTTGGTTTGGAGTCTGGGGTGGCAGGATGATTTAATCAACTTTGTCTTTAAGCAAGAGGGAACATAACTGGAGAAGGGTAATTCCAGATGTTTTGAGTTTTCAGCCACAGGGGTGCAGCCAGGTCTTCCTTGCTCTTGGCCTGACCACTGCAGGCCCCTGCTCTACCCATCCTGAGGGGTCTCCTGGGAGGAAGCCGCAATGGCAGATGGAGAAGGGGCATTTTTTTTTCCCCGTGGATGGAAAATGACACGTGGGGACAAGCTGTGAGAACCGCCGAGGTGCGTCGGCAGAGAGAAAGCGGGCTGAGGCCAATGACACCGCACAGGGACTCTCCCAGGCTTCAGCTGCCAGGGCAGAGGTGGCGCAGCCTGTGGACTCCCCGCGTTCCCTGCAAATCCCACATCCCCCTGACCCTGAGACCCTTGGGCCCCAGGAGACCCTACATCGTCGCTCTGTCAGAGGTCTGAAGACGCTGAGATACAGGGGAGGCGCTGAGCAAGGCACTGAACTCAAAAGAGGGAGGGGTCGGGCCTGAGACCCACCCCAGAGAGGCGGCTCTAGGACAGGCGGGACCAGGCCCAGGGCTGGGGGCAAGCCAGTGAGGGTCAGGGGGACCCCCAGGTCCTGAAGCAGTAGAAGGCACGTTGAAAATACAGAGTTCATTCGAGTCACCTGTGTTTCCTAGGAGGCCAGCCCAGCAAGTGCGTGCATGGCTGAGTGGGAGGTGGCTAGGGACCTGGCCTCCTTCCATGGGAACGGCAGTGGGGGCCCCATCCAACCCCACATTGCCCAAGGGACATAGCGTGAACACTGAGCACCCACACCCAGCCCCTAAGGGAGCTGCCTTTAGCGTTGGAATGGGAGCACGGGCAGCCTGACCACTGTCAGGGTGGGAACCTCAGAGCCCTCCCACTGCCATGTCACTGCCAAGCCACTGAGGTGCCAGGTGGGGATGGCTGCCCTCTAGTAGGACCACCCGCACTGCGAGAGGCCCTGAGGGCGCCAACGGGGCAGCGAGGGCAGCAGACAGTCCCTTTCAGGGACAAGCTCCAGACTTTAGGCCCAGCTGGCAGGCGGCTGTGTCCCTATAGAAGGGACACTCCATCCAGCCTGCTACTCTGGAGCTTGCGCCCACAGCGAGAGCCCTCGCAGCTCTATCTGGGGACTCTGGTACCAGTTAGCACTTCTTGTTCTTGTCATGGGGCCAGCCAGGCCCTCTCTGAGGTGGCACCTAGCGCCTCCCAGGCCTGGTGGGAGGGTGGGCCCTGCTGTCACAGGCAGGCCTGGCTAGGATGCTTCCAGCCTGGGATTCGCCTCTGAAGAGGCAGCAGTTGCTAGTGAAGGTTTCTTAGACAAGGACGCAGGACAGGGCTGGAGAGGGGAGGGGCATGGGTCTGGGACAAATGATGGCAGTGCCAGCACCGCATCTCCCACCGTGCAGGGAGGAGCCCGCCGTGGAGGTGGGGTGGGGGGTGAACATGTTGGAAGATGTAGGAGAGGGGTGTGATTCCAGTAATGAGTCCTAGAACTTGGGAGCAGCCATGTGTCACCCAGGCAGGAGGACCTGGTGGGACAGCCGCCTGGGGGAGTGAGGACAGGTGCGGACTGGGTGGAAGGTGGGGTGGGGAGAAGACCCCCAGCTGGACAGGGGGTTTCCCCTAGAGCCGCAGTCCCACCTGCCCCATGAAGACCTGGGAGCAACTAAATCTGGGCTCTGCGGGCGAGGGGTGGGGCCCCAGCCCTCTGCCTCCCGTCACTAGACCTGCCTGTCCTGTCATCAGAGCTTGGTCTCGCTGAGGACGATATTGGCCGTGACAAAGATGAAGCAGGAGAAAGCCCAGAGCAGCACGAAGCCCACCCAGAAGGTGTGGCGGAAAGGGGACCTGTGCTTGTTGCTGACCCCACAGCCAAAGGCCAGCTGGGTGTCCCTGCGGCAGTGGTACACCAGGAAGGCGGGGATGACGTACTGGATGCCGGTGCCCGCATAGGCCCCTGTGATGCCCACCAGCGACTCCAGGTCGTGGGTGCAGAAGGCCACCAGCACAGGCGGCACCAGGGTGATGGTGGGAAACACGACGCGGTCCACCACCCACGGGTACGTGCCGCCCTCGCGGTGGAAGAGCGTCTTCCAGTTGTTGCGCAGGGTCACGGCAATGATGGGGAAGTTGGTGCTAATGGTGAAGACGGGGAAGAGGCCCAGGAAGAAGCGCACAGCGGCCAGGCGCACGACGTCACAGCGTGCGAAGTTGAGGGTGTACATGTCCATGAGGCTGTCGCCGCGGAAGCAGAAGATGGCGGTGAAAGAGAGGAGGCCGTAGAAGGCCAGGATCAGCACGTAGTCCAGGAACACCAGCCTTGTGAGGTGGCGCTTGGAGGAGACTGGGGTAATGAGGGACGGCAGGGAGTGCTGGCACATGAAGGAGTAGACGCACACCCCAAACAGGTTCCGGACCCCCGAGAAGTCGGCCAGGGGCGGGTGCCCCTCCCCTTGTCCATGCCCGATGCGGACCAGGGCCAGCACAATCATGACGGCGAAAGCTGGGAAACAAGAGAGGGGAGTCAGCCAGTGCAGACAGGCACAGCCCTACCCTGAGTTTCTGGTCTGGGGGGCGCCTTTGCAGGGCCTATAGCCCCATGAGAAAGAGTCATTAAATGCACATTCAGGCAGCCCTATTCTTGGGTGGCTCAACAGTGGCTGCTCATCAGAGGAAGGTCCTGTATCTCTCTCTGTCCTGTTCTCCCCTCTCCCTGCTGAGCAAGGGGCCTGGGTTGCAGTGGGGCCAGGGGCAGGGTGGTCCGGCTTTGCAGAGGTAGCAACTCTGTCTTCTTAGAGGAGGGCGAATCCTGGGGCAGGCACTGCCTGGCTCCCTCATCGGCCCCCCAGGGCTCTCAGGGGCTCTGCCAGCTTCCTGGCAGGGAGCAGGCTGGGTCAGGACACAGGGTCACACTCTCTCCCTTGGTTTGAGAGTGATGCCCAATGTGAGGCTGGGGAGCTGGGGGGTAGACGCAGAAGGGCATGGAGTGTTTGGGAGGAGGTGTCCTCCTGGGCCGAGGGCATCTGCTAGACACAGCCGAAGCCAATAGGCAGGAGTGCTGGGAGCCCTGGGCAGACAGGTGGGTACCTAGGGGCCAAGGGCAGGCAGGAAGTTGCCAGTGGTCATGCCAGGGCACAAACAGCACCAAGGACCAAGGCTGCGGACTGCCAAGTCCTGGGCTGCTGACACCGAGGCTGGAGGCAGGTGGCATGTGGCTCTGTTTTCCTGGGCCTGGCAGCACAGCTAGGGGACAGGGGACTCTGTGGAAGTGGAAGGGGGCCCATGACCCTATCTGTCCAGAGCAAACAGCTTGCATTGCTGATGGAGACCAGGCTGGCTTCACTTCGCAGCCTTTTATGGTGGCCCTCCTTCTGGGCTGCCACTGGAGACAGGCTCACAGCACACCCCCCAGGCTGAGCTCCGCAGAGGCAGCCTGTGCACCCCAGGCACAAGGGGCTGCGTTACCCAGCGCTCTGAGGAGATGGCACTCTTAGATCTTTCTGTCTCTGGCTTCTGCTCTCCGGGCTACCCAGAACCACAGTGAGCTACTCACACACGGAGACCACCGGTGTCCGTATCTGTTCTGAAGCTGACCAAGCCCTGCTCTCTCTGTTCAGAACATATCTGACAGCCTCTCTAGCCTGTGCCCTCACCCCTCAGGTGAAGCCCACGGGGACACGTGACATTTCTTGGTGAGCAGCACAGGCAAGTGTGAAGGGGCAGTGGCCACAGAGGCCAGATCGCAGCTCGGTGGCTCCTGTCTGGGGGCCTCCACAGAGCCCCAGGGCTCTTCTGCAAGTGAGAAGCTGGGGACCTCATGGTCCCCTTTGGTCCAGACCCACTTCCTGACTCCTGGAAGGAAGAGGTGGCTCTGATGGGACCCACAGGAAATCAGGCAATGTCTTCCCACAATGACACTTGGGAGTGGGATGGAATCTTCATCTATTACTTTTAATCAGAACTGCCTAACACTGTCGGGGACAGGAGGGGAGGAAGGGAGCGTTGAAACCGGCCTGAGAACATTGCCAGCAAAGAAGATGATTTGTTTCTGCCTCTCACCACCTGCTCCAGTCCCCGCCACTCCTGACTCTGAGGGCCTGGGGACTCCTCCCCCGGTATCACAAATCGTTCCAACCCTGGTCAGTCAAGGGGAAGTGGTGGCCTACTTCCTCCTTCCAGTCTCAGCCCAGGGAGTTGCCTCCAGCTTTACCCACTGGGGATGGATGGCACAGGACAGCTGTGGGACAGACCAGGACCCCGAGCAATCTGCTCGCCCCAGAGATTTCTGAGGCTGGGTAGAGGGGGGTGTGCCCAGTAGTGCTATGCGAGAGATGCACCCCACAGGAGGTGTGCCAGGGCAGGATGTGTGGGCGGGTACCGGGGAGAGAGCAGACACGCTGGAGGTGGAGTCCCTGTGAGCCAGAAGGGGCTACAGAGCAGAGCTGAGCAGGATGGGGTGGGGGTACAGAGGCCAGACTGGGCCCAGGGGCACCTGGTGATTTGTTATTCAGGAGGCTGCAGCAGACTGTTTTGCCACCATAAGTGGGGCACGAGGGTCAGGGCAACGGGGACAGCTGCTGTAGGGCAAGATTCAAATCCTGCACTGCCACTGCCATCTCGAGGCACCACCTTGAGACCTGGCACTTGGCCCTGGCCAAGGCTGGCATGAACTTAGAAAAAGGCAAGTGGAGAATTCCTCCAGCTGTCTGTCACTCGGCCCTGGGCCCTGGGTCTGGTGAGCAAGCAGGCAAGAAGGCAGGAAGAGGTCAGCTGTCTGGACGTGAGCATCCCTGCCACCGCTTCCTCCTGCCCTGAACACAGCCCATGCTTCTCTGCTCCTCTAACTCCCCAGCCTCACATCTCCAAAGAAGGGCAGCTCTCCTTACAGCCCTGCCTGTGAGATTTCCTCACGGTAAATAAACCAATTTACAAAGTAGGTTTCCAAAGAAATGAGACGGTTGTACACACACACGCATCCCCCGAAATGTACACCTTCTAATTGGCGTCCTCCAGAGCAGCTGTCTCGGGAAGAGGTGCCTTTGACACCAACAGTGATGTGGAACAACTTCTAGAACCTTAAGCTAGAACAAAACCACGGCAGCTGGGCGCGGTGGCTCACGCCTGTAATCCCAGCACCTTGGGAGGCCGAGGCAGGCGGATCACCTGAGGTCAGGAGTTTGAGACCAGCCTGGCCAACATGGTGAAACCCTGTCTCTACTAAAAATTAGATGGGTTTGGTGGTGTGCACCTATAATCCCAGCTACTCGGAAGGCTGAGGCAGAAGAATTGCTTGAACCCGGGAGGCAGAGGTTGCAGTGAGCCAAGATTGTGCCACTGCACTCCAGCCTGGGCGACAGAGTGAGACTCCACCATCAAAAAACAAAACAAAACAAAACAAAGCAAACAAACAAACAAAAAGAACAAATTCACGGCTATGGGTAATTAAAAAAATGATTTCACGATCTTCTAGCCATAATTATGTTCACCTCCTAATGCCACTACCTAGATTACCTAGATTAGTCACCCATTTGCTTCTTTTGATTGTCTTAAACAAGTCTATTTGCAAAAACCAAGTCTCCCTTCGTGGGCTGGATGTTTGCTGCCGCCTGGGAGTCAGAAGCAGATGCTAGAAGCTCTTGGGAGGTGATTCCAGAGTGTTAGAAAATGGGATAAACACCTGATGGGGCAGGTGCAGCTGCAGGGCCATGCGGGCCTTCGTGAGCTCCCCTTGGTCACACCCTGCACTGCTGTCAAAAGCTCACCCAGCTGTGTGGCAGCTCGGCTGCATGGAGACGCCAGCAGCTCTGGGGCTGAGCAGACCGAGTGCACACTCAGCAGAGGTGGGTCATTCACCCATGAATCCCGACCTGCACTCAGGGCGTTCACACACCAGGAAAGGGACAGGCTGCCAAGGTGAGGAGCACATCTGGGAAGGGCAGGTGGCTCTAGAAGAGCCATGCCCCCAAAACAGGGGTGAGAACCAGCTTCCCAGTGCAAATGGCCCCGGTGGGGGCAGAAGGTGAACCCAGCTACCTGGGGAGGGGGCAGGGCCCTCTGGTTCCCCACCACCATGAGGATATGAAGGCAGGGGCTGGGATCTGTCCCCTAGGAGTGGAGAGTGAAGGGAACTGCTCGAGCCTGGTCTCCAAACCAGCAAATTCAAAAGAAACTAGCACCATCTAGAACCTCTAGTTCCCCTGGGAGATGGAGGAAAGGGAGGGAAGGGAGAAAAGAAGGAAAGGAGGGAGGAAGGGAGGAAGGGGAGGTCAGGGCCCTGACCTTGCTGGGACTATGGCACGAGGCTTAACCCCCACTGTGCACCTGGCCAGGCCCCTGTGACCCCGCCCCTTTGTCTGGCCCCTCCCTGCCTCCCCTGGCTGCGGGAGGAGCAGAGTTCAATAGCCATCTCCTAGATTGATCGCCGCATCCCTGGGAGACAGCTGCTCCAAAAACTCATTAGGTCTGATCATAAATCAAGATGAAACAAGGATGACAGGTTGTGGAGACCCTGCCAGGATGCGCGGTGGGGAACAGGGCTCTGAGAGCCACACTGACGCCCAGGGCTCGGCCACAGCCGCGGAGACAGCCTGCGCCCACCTCGTGGAGCCTGCGTGGGAGGGCAGACGGGCGCGGAGGCGGGACAGAGCAGAAAGTGCTCCCCAGGCACGCTAAGGGCCAGACACCCAGGACTTCACAGTCAGATGTGTGGGGGGTCGGCCCCCAGCAGGGCCTGCAGTTCCCCAAGAGCCTATCACAGGCAGTGCCCAGAACATTCGCGTCCACCCACAATTCTACACCAGGAGTCCTACTTAGTGGTGCAGAGCAGCAGTGAGAAGCTGGGAGGAGGCAGAGGGGAGGACAGAGGAGGAGGCTGACATAGGTCACACGTGCGGCTGCTGGGCCTCGGAAGGCTCAGCTACAAAATGACAAGGGGTGGCAGGAGACTTCTCTCTTAATATCTGAGTAAAAGCCAATGCAAAAGCCACCGCATTTGTCTTGTGTCACCCATGGGCCCAACTGGACTGTTCATTCCTTCAACAACAAGGGACTGAGTGTTCCCTGGTACTATGCTGGCTGTCTGGGGACAGCACACTGAGACAGGCCCTGTCCTTCTGGAGCCCAGAGTCCGGAGGACCAGAGTCCAGGTGGAAAGTACAGGGGACAAATTACAACCAAAGAACAGGCTGGTTATCAGGCACACTAGCTGTGGGGTACATGATGAGATCCCCGTCGCAGCAGGCAGCCAAGCCTGAGGGTAGGAGGCCACGTGGTGGGGGTCCCAAAAGGGAAGCAAGTGTCAGACGGGACAGGGAGGACCTTTCGGGGCCGTTTCAACCCTATAGGTCTATGGCTGCTGTGACTCCTCACGGTTTAGGAGAAGCAGCTCAATGTGGGGTGGAGATGAGGAGGGGGGCCCCCAAGGACACCCATAGGCAGAGCCTCATTAAGGCCCTGCGAGGTCGCCTGCCATGGCTGCTGGCTGCTCACAAGGCTTGTCCCGAT